CTCTGTAGCAGGGGAATAGAAATTCTTACATCACAAAGTTGTAGTAAGCATTAAACGGAATAAGGTGTGTGTAGTGCCCACCAGAGGTCTTGTGAAATTCAGTTAAATATGCGGACTCACAGGGCATCTGGGTGGCTCGGTCGGTTAAACATCTGCCTTCAGTTCAGGTCATGATCCTGAGGTCCTGGGATTGAGCCCCGTGTCAGGCTCAGCAGGGAATCTGCTTCTCCCTCTCCCCCTCCCCCTGCTCGTGCTCTCTCTCTCTATCTCAAATAAATAAATAAAATCTGCAGCCTCACAACATTACCACAGACCACATTTCTTGCCAGCTTGCCAGCAGGGCAGCATCAAGAGTTCCTCTCAGCAGGGGTCCTGCTGCAGTTGAAGCAGGTGACAGCTCACATACCCGTCGGGGGACTCTTATCTTCCCATGTGACACAGTTCCAGGTACAAAGCTCAAGATCCATAATCAAGCAGGTGCGGGAGCTACCCTGAGAAGAAGCCTCATGACCTAAGCAGCCCGTATCTCTTGTAACAATTCTTTGGCATAGTTTCTAGGGTACCTTGAAAAGGACCGCATTCAGGCAAGTCCCAAGCATGGCACCCTCATCAGATATTTGCAGCTCACTCATACTTCCTTTCAGTCCAGATGCAATTTACCGGTCAGGGTTCATTTTTACCATAAGCGATGTTGTCTAGCAATATAATTCTTGCCTACCATCTACCTGGTTTCCAGGGCAACAGAGCTCCATGGTTAAACCAAAGGTGAGATTCTCAAGCAGCAAGGGGAAAGGTTTGTTAACCCTTTTATCCCAGTATGCGACAGACCCAACCAGGGGCCTCTCATGTTATAGTTATCAAAATGTACTTATTCATTCCTTTAACAAGTATTTAAGAACTTATACTGAGTCAGGCACTGTGCCAGACACTAGGAATATGGTGCTCATCTTTATATTGTTAACTCCCCCCATGACACCCTTAATTCCTTTTATTGTCAGAAGAACTATTTTTCCTTCAAAGGTCAGCTCAGGTATTACTTCTTCTCTGAAATCCATGTCCACTCTACTCCCCTAGCACTTTGTATTTACTGCCCTGAATTTGTGGGTTGGTTTTGTGAATTCATGAATCCCCTGAAGTAATATGCAGATTTTGTGTGCATGTGGGAATGTATATTTGAACAAAGGATGAAAACTTTTGTTAAATTTTCAGGGGGGTCTAACCAGCCCCCTATGAATTTAGAACCATTACTTTGTTATGAACATTTATTATATTTATTTTATAAGGTTTTATTATTTCCTCATAGGTCTATCTCCTACTAGAACCCTGAGTACCTTGAGAGGGGGAACTGTGTATATTAATATTTTATGTCAACAGAGTGCCTGCTTCATAGAAGACTTTTAGAAAAATGGATATTGAAAGAATCACTTAATATCCTAAACAGGCTCAGCAGCTTGAGTGATGCTATTAGTGAACATTTCCTAATTTGAAAGGGAAAGTTCTTCCTTATCTTAAACTAAAATCAGCCTTTCTTCTTCCTAACTTTGTCCTCTGGATTTATAAATTAAATGTCTACTCTCTTCCTATTGTAATTGCCTTTTTTAAAAAAAAAGATGGACACATTTTAGTATATTTTACTTTTATATTGATGTAAGAACAGTAAGAAAGATCTAGAAGAATGACCATTAAACGGTAATAGAGGGAATCACATTATATTTACAAATGCCCCTCCCCTATCCCTGATCAAATAGCTGACCAATCCATGAGTGCACTTGCTGGCAGGGCTCCAGGTGGAATGTTTGAGGGTTCCCTGGGTTTGTTGTTGCTGGTGGATCCAGAATTACTGGGCAGAGGCCTGTGGCGGATCTTGGCTTTGGGCTGATACTTGAGAAGTTGGGTGTGGTGGTAATGGAGATGCTGCTCAAAGACCTGCTTCCACAGTTCCCTTCCAGAGACTCCAGTGGAAGAAAGTGGTGTGTTCACCTGTCATTTCCTTATTGGTGGTTCTTTTTTTTTTTAAGTTTTTATTTAAATTTCAGTTAGCATACAGTGTAATATTACTTTCAAATGTACAATGTGATTCAGCACTTCCCTGCAACACCCGGTGCTCATCACAACAATCCCCATCACCTACTTAACCCATCCCCTTACTCCCCTCCCCTCTGGTAACCATCGGTTTGTTCTTTGTAGTTAAGAGTCTTTTTATGAGACTTATAGTTGAGGAGATGAAAGAAAAAGGGCTAACATGGGGGAAATCATTAAAAAATAATACATTTGCATTCAAATATTTTAACTTAAAACATGCAAATGTAGATTAATTTACTAATATTTTATTACAGAACCAATATCTTTTTGTTGAACATGACTCCACTGTTGAGTAGCTTTTTTTTATTATCAGGTATTTCATCCAAAATTCATCATCTACAATTTCTAGTTTGTGTTTTCTTAAATGGAAAGAGAAGTTACACATTCTTAAAGCAGTGGAATTGTAGACTTCTAGATTTTTACTCTTCCTCCCTTTTTCCAGTGTTCTGTAATTGTATCTCCCATGTCTTACCAGTTAATTTTTTTTTTTTTTACAACTGGCTTTCATTTAGTCTGAAATCTTTAGTTTCAGGAGAATAGCAATTCATATTTCCTTTGTTTACACACTATTAAATTATGTAACTAAAATAAGGTATAAGTGACATAAACAGGCCTGTAATCAAATACAGTTGACTCTTAGCACATGTTTCTGTGCATAGGAATGGAGGTGTGCAAGTATTCAGGCTGCTTTAAGGATTCACACTGCTCATGGGCATTAGGAAGACCATGAACATGTTTTTATTCTGTTTTTCTCAGGATTAATTATTTTGAAGTTTCTCGTCATCCTGCCCATATTTCTTCTCCTCTTAGACTACGGGTCTCCCTACTTAAGAGTAGAATAGAGGTAAATCATGTTTAGCTTTTCTTCTGAAAAAGTCTGAGGTATCTCTTGTTGTCCAGAAAAAAAATGAAACCATTGGAAAAAAAAAACAACTGGTAGCAAATATAAGGGCCTACTTAATTATAAGGCTCTTTTAAGCATAAAAAATAATAGTAGAGTGGAGCTCAATTTCTTTCCCCTTGAGTGTGATCTGGGCTTAGTGATTCACTTCCAAGGAATAGAGTATGCAAAGGGAGGAATAGTAGCTTTATTAGTGGAGAAACTTGGTAGATACCACCCTGGCCAAATGTGCAAGTTTAACAGCACCAGTGATAAGTCATATTGATTGAGAGAGTGTACCCTCTGATAAGATGTGCTGAGAAGGTCACTTCACTTCTGTGGTATTCTTTCCCAAACCCATAACCCCAGTCTAATCTTGAGAAAACATCAGGCAAACTTAAATTGAGGGATATTCTGTGAAACACCAGACCACTGCTCTTCAAAAATTTCAAGGTCCTAAAAAATAAGGACAGACTAAGAAAATGTAGCAGACTAAAGGAGACTAGGGAAACAAGATAACTAACGGCAGTGTGTTATCTTGAATTGGTTCCTAGATGAAAGGAAAAAAAGGACATTAATGGAAAAACTAGGGAAATCCAGATAAAGTTTGTAGTTTTGACAAATCTTCCATGGTTATATAAGATGTTAACCTTAGAGAAAGCTGGGTGGAGTGTATATGAGGACTGTCTGTACTATTTTTTAACCTTTCTGTAAATTTAAAATTACTCCCAAATAAAAAGTTTATTGCAAAATAATTAATGGGAGAAATCACAGGAGAAAGGGTTAGGTAATTTGAAATTTAAGACAAACCAAATTAAAGGGCAATAACACTGAAAAGGTATTTGTCACAGATGATGAATAAAGGGCTAAGATTTTTAAGATAGAATATACTTTTAAAAATTAGTAAGAACATTCTAATACTTCATTGGAAAATAGTCACTGATCACAACTCACAGAAGAAACACGCTGGTCAATAAATATGAAAGCCAGTTCAGTCTCACTAGTAATTAAAGAATTGCCGATTAAAACCGTATATATGGAGAATATTTTCACCCCTTACATGGAAAAGTGATAGTATTCAGTTCTGAAGAAGGTAAGTGGAAGAATTAGAGATTCATACAGCCTTTCTGAAAAGCAGTTTGCCAGTATGTATGGGGTTTTAAAATATGGATATCATTTGTGATTGTGGTCTTACTCTTGCAAGATTTTTTCCCCAAGGAAATAATCAGCTGTGTATACAAATTTTTTAATAAGAATGTTCATCACAGGGTTGTTGATACCAAAAAACTCAAAACCTGAATATCCACCAGTGAGGGAATGATCTAAAAGTTAACTGGCAGGCCTTGGGGCGCCTGGGTGGCTTGGTCGTTAAGCGTCTGCCTTCAGCTCAGGTCATGATCCCAGGGTCCTGGGATCCCAGGGTCCTGGGATCGAGCCCTGCATCAGGCTCCCTGCTCCGCGGGAAACTTTCTCCCTTTCCCTCTGCCCCTGCTTGTGTTCCCTCTCTCGCTGTGTCTCTGTCTGTCAAATAAATAAATAAAATCTTTAAAAATAATAATAATAAAAAATAAAAGTTCACTGGCAAGCCTCTAGAATAGAGTGGAATCATTAAGAATCATAATAGAACTAAATAAACAGTGAAAGCAAGATACAGTTTGTGTATATCTTCTGATCCCGTACTGTGTACATGGGTATAACTATGTTTCTTGAAAGAATTGCAAGGAAATATCCCGTTTTCGAAGTAGTTACTTGTCTTTGGATGGTAAGGAAAGGATGATTTTTATTTACTTTATACCTTTATACATTTTCAAACTGCCTATCATAAATAAGTTATATATTACTTTTGTAATCTGGGGGGAAAATTATTGCAGACAATGTAGCTACTGAGTTTCTTTCATCTTTCATGCTGATTTAATTAAGAAAATGCTACATTTCCATTTTGTTCTTTAAAAAATTGTTTTTCCTATCATCTGCAAAGAGTGAGAGTTTGACTTCTTAATAAGATAAAATTAAAAATTCTTTTTCCTCTCTCTGCTAGGAAGCTCCTCAGGGTACTCCCATTGCCGAGTGAGAATTGGGGAGCTCTAGTTGAAGAATGGTGTTGTCATCCTGACCCCTTTGCTAATAAGCCACTTCATCCGCAAGAGCATGACTGTTTTATTGGAGACTCTTTCTTCTTGGTGAATTTAAGAAATGATTTATGGCAGCCAAGACCTGAACTAGCCCCAGTGAAGACACAATGTCCTTCTGAGAACCATTTTAAACTGGTAAAATATCTTTTCAAAATAAATGCTAATTTGGAGGTTGGCTTAGAACCTGGTTTCTCCTATCTTTTCTTAATTAAAGCATGCTACACAGACTCTTCCAAGGACCAAAATCCGTGATTTTCAACTGCCTCTATTCACCACCTCTGCTCTGCTCTGTTGATAGAGGAAGAGCATATGGCTTTAGACCAGAACAGCTTACGGGGCTGGAGAAAGAAGAGAAAGAGGACTTTTTCATGCATAGAATTGGGAATGTTGCCATTTTACAAACCAAAATGCCCTACTTTCTTATTTTTAGGACAACATATCATAATCTATATAGTCTGATTTGAATTAAAAGTGTTCTTTTATTCCAAGATATATACTATACAGTTAGGCCTAGGTATTTCCCCGTGTCTGCCCATTGTTAAGACTTCTGCTGATGTCATAAAAGCAGATGCCATCAAGGAAACAGAGAAAACGGAGGAGTCAAAATGTGGAAATGAAGCTCGTGCTGTGATTCCAAGTTGGTGGTGGACAATGTGAGGTCAGGTGCCTCTTGCTATAGAAGTTGATTTAGGGAGAAAGAAGTTTCCTTTCACTGCAGAGGACAAGTGCTTTACCTTACTCTAAAAGAAAATCAATGGCATTGACTTGGCCCTTGTGAGAAATCATTCTCCTGATGGCAGGTCAATACAGATGTGATTTAAAAAGTAAAGAAAATCACTGCCAGAGAATCTTCATTTTAACATCTGATTATCGGTAGGAATAAAAGCATTGTATATTAAATTTCATTTAAAACTCATTTAATTTTTGTAACAAAAACTGAACCACCTCAGGAAATGTGCAATAGTTGGGCAGCTCTCAGGTTGTAAGTTAGTTTATAGAACTGTTTTATATTTTGAGGGTAGATTAAGGAAGTTGATCAAAGATTGAAGTTATCAGAATTATTTAAGTGCCTTATCTCTCACCATAAACACCCATCCCTTTACCTAAATATGGTTTGTTTAAAATTATAGTACTTTATCCTTGTATAGTTTTCAAAAATAAATGGTAAGAAGTTAATAAAAATCTGTTATGTTTAAAATGGTTATGTTAAAATCATATTTTAATCTAAATTTGTAGACTAATACTGTACTGTTCTATATATTTTAACTTTCATTCTTGCGATTAAGCTATAAATTTTTAAAATATTTGCAAGGTGTGAATAGAAGAGGAGAGGAGAAAGATTAAATAAGAGAAACCATGAGTTTCCCTTTTTAGATAAATTCTGCACTCTATATAGAAATACATTCTTCACATTTATGTCTTTATCAGTTATATGATGCCATTTACAAGAATTTCTCTCAATTGTGAACAGCCATCCTATGCATTAAAGGAAGACCCTTTATATTCAGACATTATGGTGTTTAGTATCAAGGAGACTGTGGGAAACTCCTGTCATGACAGCTGCTCTGACAAGATTGTTTCCAAGTTAGCCTAGATGGAAGTTCTCTTTAATTGCATATTGCAGCCATTGAAAGAGTATGCCTGTGTCCAAAATAGTAACATATATTTGGAGGGACTGCTTAAACAGTGCTCTCAAGGCTCCTGTGGGAACAAGGCTGCCCTGTGCTATTGAAAACCTATTTCTCATATCAACAAGTCTAGCCATCTAGCAGGGTTTTGAAATGTCACATGGTGACACAGCATCCTAATGGTATCTCTTGGGAAACATTTTTTTGGCGAGACAGTATCAAGCGTCCTTAGAAATTGAAAACGCAAAGGGAAATAAAAACAAGGACAGGAGGCTAATCCACATCTCTGAGCAGTGGTGCCGTCTCTCAGATATATTGATTTAATTAGTCCACAACAAGGTCTTTCTTTGATGTCGGGTTCCCACACTGTTAGGCTGCTGCATCTCACAGCTTGCTTTATTATTTCCTTTAAGCATCGGTCAAGAGAAATGCATTATGAAACAGAGTTTCTCTTTAAACAAAATTTCAAATGCTATAAGATTTTAATTAAAAAGGCCTGATTTTAAGAATAGCATAAACAAAATCCAACGCTTATTTCTTTACCTCAAAACCCCTTTTGAGTGTACAGTATGTTATTTGTGCCTGTTAATGTGGCAGTATATAGGGGCACCTGGGTGGCTCAGTCGTTAAGCGTCTGCCTTCGGCTCAGGTCATGATTCCTGGGATCGAGCCCCGCTCCGGGCTCCCTGCTCAGTGGGAAGCCTGCTTCTCCTTCTCCCGCTCCCCCTGCTTGTGTTCCCTCTCTTGCTGTCTCTCTCTGTCAAATAAATAAATAAAATCTTTAAAAAAAAAAATGTGGCAGTATATACCTTTTGTTTTTAAAAGATACCTCCTGAAGATTTCCTTATTTCTTGCATTTATTGTTTCATGCTATTTTTTGCGTCTACCAGCATCTTATAATAGGATGATAAAGATGGCACCTCACCCTTTTATAAGATTCATAATAGTATTCTAGACTTAGAAAGTGTGGTCACATCGTAACTTCACCCTATCTTTTAAGGAACAAACGAAATTGAACTTTGATTATATCACAGTGTGACTAACAGCTTTACTTTTTTTTTCTTTCCTGGGGTACTTGGCAATAATTTATTGATTTTTAGTCATTTGTTTTGTTAAATCCATAAGGCTGGGTTGTTTTTTTTTTAATTTTCTTAGACTAATGGGTTGAACTTTGTAAACATTCACAAATGTAAAAAGGAAAGAATTTGAACTTCAGTGTACCAATCATCTTGATTCATAAAGTAGGCTTCATCTGTCCCTTTAATTCCCTCCCCAGCCGGAGTGCTTTAAAGCAAATCCCAGACTTTATGTCATTTTATCCCATATGGATTTTTCTTTTTTAAATAGCCACAGTGTCATTTCACATTTGACAAAATGAACAATTACTACTTATAATAAAATACAGGCCATATACAGGTTTTACCAATTATATTAAAGGTCCCTTCTCCCATCCATTTGTTTGAATCAAAATACACATATTTGGTTGTTTGAGATAATTTGCTTTTTATTGATCACATTTTAAAATCCTGATTACCAGTGTCTTGAAAAGGTAGACTCTTTTTTTTAAACCAACAAATACCACTTTTCCTGCTTCATTGAAAGATAAAGCAAAATTATAAATGAAATACGTAACAGAGCACCTGATGAAAAATTCTCTGCTTTGAATAGAAAAATTTCTTCTCAAGCATTGCTACTCCAATACCTGGTATTAGTTTTTAGTAAAGCCTTTAGTTTTTGGTAAGATTTAATGAAGATGGTTTAATTTAATTTGTACAAAATAGGTCCTTTAAAAAGTGTCTTTACTACCAGTTTGGAGCTATACAGATAGATTTTATTGTAAGAAAGCGTGAAAATGCCCAAATTTACAGTTGAGCATACCTGCTTTCTGAGCTGTCTTCTTCCTATATCCTTGCCTACACCTGAACAGATTATCACCTGCCTTTGTTTCTATGTCTGTGGCTTTGACTTTTTTTGACCTCTAATTAAAGTAAGAAATACATATATTTTTAAAGATTTTATTTGTTTGAGAGAGAGAGAGCACAAGCAGAGGGGCAGAGGGAGAGGGAGAAGCAGACTTCCCCGTGAGCAGGGAGCCCAACACAGGGCTCCATCCTAGGATCCTGAGATCATGACTTTAGCCAAAGGCAGACGCTTAACCGACTGAGCCACCCAGGTGCCCCAGAAATACATTTTTTATATCAAGATCTGATAACACTATGCACACACATGAACACATGTCAAGTAAAAGTTTCTTGAAGTAGTACTTACACTGTGTTTGAAGTACTGTGAT